CAATGACCTCCCTTGAGATCAGCCATGGGAAGAGCTGATAAGGATCCTGTACTTTGCTGATGCTCATCTAATCATGTGCAAGCTCACAGAGATCTTGGGTTACTGAGATCAATGGTGTCCCCTCACCCCTGCCTACTACTTTGGCAGAATGTGTGTTTGAGAGCCAGTCTGTTTTCTCAACAATGGGATCCTACTATGTACATTTCTAGGTATCTTGCTTTTCTCACTTAAGATATCTCAGCTGAGGGTGGCTTGTTTCCTTAGAGGTTTGTAATTTTAGATGGAGTGTTTATTTCATCAAAGCTTTATCTATGGAGCATGTGGGGTCTGGGTTGAGGATCCAGCTCTCCAGCAAGTGTCTCTATTTCCTTCGCCTGGATCCCGGGGCACCACCAAGCCAGCTCCTCTTCTGTTGTACAGTATCCCAGATTGTACAGCTAGTGGGAACCTCAAACCCATGCAACAGCAGACCTGCAGGGATAGTCTTCAGAGACATTTGCATTTATCCCACTGTTTCTGCGGTTCACTGTTTTTAACTGTGAACAGACAAGCTCCAGAATATTATCTGGAAGAGAAGGAGTAAGAATAAGAGAACTAGAGAAGTCTCTTTAATAAGTAAGAAGAATGTTCAGGATTAAGAAAGATGATACTGGACAGGAAAGAGAAAAGAGGAGCAAAGCATCAAGACGTATGCCAAGAGGCTACATTAAAAAAAGAACAGAGGATGTAATATACAGCTTTAAGTTGCCTGCTGTACTGTGACCTGCCTGCTCTGTCCCTAAAGCTTCCATTAACTGCTACACTCACAATCTTGAGTCAGTGGTATTTATGGGAATGATGGAATCAGGACAGCAACCAATGAGGCTGCAGTGGAGTGAGTGCAGGCAACCACACACAGAGGGGAGAGATAAATAACAGCAGAATCTAGAAATCAGGAACTTGGAATGCCTGAGAGGAATATGCACAGCCCATTCTCTGGTGAATATCTGGTGGAGGAGCTCATCTGTATCCTGCTTAAACATTAAACAAAATTAAAAGAGGTGTAAAAGGACCAGGCACAGTGTCTCATATCTGTAATCCCAGCACTTTGGGAGACCAAGGTGGGTGGATCACTTGAGGTCAGGAGTTCGAGACCAGCCTGGCCAACATGGGGAAACCTCATCTGCACTAAAAGTAGAAAAATTAGCCAGGCATGGTGGTGGGTGCCTATAATCCCAGCTACTTGGGAGGCTGAGGCAGGAGAATCACTTGAACCCAGAGGCGAAGGTTGCAGTGAGCCAAGATCACGCCACTGCACTCCAGCCTGGGCTACAGAGTGAGAGACTCTGTCTCAAAAACATCAAAAGTAAATCTTAAAAAAGAGGCATAGAAGACTACTCAACTCTAAATTAATAAAGTTTAAAATCTAGATGAAAAAGAAAATTTTCTAGGAAAATAGAATTTGCCTATAGATTCCTCAGAAGAAACCAAAAATTTAAGTGATCCAGTTTCTGGAAAGGAAACAGAGTTGTCAAAACACTGCCTCCTAAAAAAGAACCAAGTCCAGAGGTTTTCTGGCAGAATTATGCAAACTTTCAATTAGCAGGTAATTTCAATGGTATTTAAATTTTTCTAGAGCATAAAAAGAAAAGGAAAGGCCAGGTATAGTGGCTCATGCCTGCAATCCTAGGCTAAGGCAGGCAGATTCCTTAAGCCCAGGAGTTCAAGACCAGTCTGGGCAACATGGCGAAACCTCATTTCTTAAAAAATACAGAAAATTAGGCTGGGCATGGTGGCACGTGCCTGTAGTCCCAGCTACTTGAGAGACTGAAGGAGGGGGTTCTTTTAAGCCCAGGAGGTAGAGGCTGCAGTAAGCTGAGATTGTGCCATTGTACTCAAGCACGGGCAACAGAGAGAGACCCTGTCTCAGAAAAAAGAAAAGAAAAAAGAAAACTTTCAAGTTATTTTTATGAGAGTGTTATGTTGATATCAAAACCTGATAAAAATATTTTACACATGGTAAAAACTAATGACAAATCTCAGTGAAGAATATCACTGCAAAAATCCAATATAAAATATTAAGCAATGGAATGCAACAGAACATTAAGATAATATTATGTCATATCCAAGTAAAGTTCATTCTAGAAAGGAAGATATGGTTCAATATTCGGAAGCCTATTGATTATTTGTATTTATTGATCTAAGAAGAAAAGTCATACTGATTCCTGAGAGACTGAAAGGATATTTGACAAACCTCAACTCCTATTGTTAATTTTTTAAGCCAAATAAAATAGAAATCTTTGAATAATTCCACATATATACACACACATATATTCACACATATATTTTCTTAACAGAATATTATATTCCTTAATATAGTATAAATTATTCTCCATAAATATATACATACATATTTGTATATGTAAACATGTGTATATATTTATATATACATACACAAATAAATACAGATTCTCATAAAAGTCAGAAACAAGAAGGCTCACTCTCACCATTACCAGTTAACCTGGTCCTAGGGATAATATGAATGTAATTATGAATATAAACAAGAGAAAAAGAAGCATAAAAACTAGAAATAACCACATAAAACTATTACATGTGATTATCTATCTGAAAAACTCATAATGTACCAAGAAACTACTACAAACAATAGGAATGTTCAGTAAGATAGAGCAGTACAAAATTAATATAAATTAGTCTTAAAAAACCAACCAGGGTGGGCATGGTGACATGCACCTGTGGCCCTAGCTACTCAGGAGGCTGAGGTGGGAGCATCACTTGAGCCCAGGAGACAGAGGGTGCAATGGGCTATGATCCGGCTACTGCACGCCAGCCTGGGACACAGAGTGAGACCCCTAAATTTAAAAGAAGAAGAGAAAAAGGAGGGGGTGAGGAAGGGGGGGAAGAGAAATGGAAGGGGAGGAGGAGAAAGAAGAAGAGGAAGAGGAGGAGGAAGAAGGAGGAGAAGAAGGAGGAAGAAGAAAAACAATGGCAATGAGCTGGAGCTAGCCTTACTAAAACCTCAACAGTTAGAACAGAGTGGTACTGGCATGGAACAGACAGGTGGTCTGTGCTGCTTTTTCTCCACTTGGCCATTACCCACCCATCATTTTCTTCTCTTTTCAGCCTTGCCCTGTGTCCTCACATCCTTTGCCCTCTGGCTTCCTATAGGTTCGGTCAATGGGAGGCATTGGTAAGAGATCAGAGGCTGAGAGAAGAGAGAGCTGAGAGTGCTTCTTCCCTGCGCCTCCCTGTTTCCCGGACAGTGGCTCTTCTCCCTCCACAGCCCCACCTCTGCTAGGCACCCCCTTCTCCAGGTTCCAGCTCTCAAAGGCTTTTGATAACTCTACTCCAATCCTTGCTCCTTCAGGCCCACAAGTGTGATGGCTGCCCACCTTTGCTAGTCTCTGGATGCTTCAACATTCCTTATAGGTTCCCTTAACCCTCACTACACCTTCATTAAATTTTATTTGAACCACTTGAGCAAAATTCTGTTTCCTACCAGGAACCTACCTGACTGATGCAAAGACTAACGGAACAGAATAGACAATCCAGAAATACACCCAAGTGTATACAGGAAGCTACTGTATTATAAATTTACCATCCCAAATCTATGGAGCAAAAATGGACATTTTAATAAATACCATTGAAACAAATGAATAGCCATCTAGAAAAATTTAAAGTTAAACTTTTACCTCACATTGTTCACCAGGATAAACTCCAAACCAAATTAAATGAAAGTCAAATCAAATCATAATAAGATTAGAAGTGGATGAGCAAACTATAGTGGAATCAGGCATCACTTAATAACAGGGACTAGGCAATTTCATCATCGCATGAACATCAGAGTGCTCTTGCACAAACCTAGTCAGCACAGCCTACCACATACCTGAGCTATATGGTGTGGTCTGCTGTTCCTAGGCTACAAACCTGTACAGCATGTTACAGTACTAAATCCCACAGGCCATGGTATCAGAATGGCATTTGTGAACCTAAACATAGCTAAACACTGAAAAAGAAGAGAAAGCATGTAGTACAAAGATTTAAAATGGTACACCTGCATAGGGGTCTTAATGTGAATAGAGCTCACAGGACTAGAAGTTGCTCTGGGTGAGTCAGTGAGTGAATAGTGAGCAAATGGGAAGGCCTGGGACATTACTGTACACTACTGTAGACTTCAAAGCACTGTACACACAGGCTACACTAACTTTATTTTAGATTTTTTCTTTCTTCAATAATAAGCTAACCTTAGCTCACTGTAACATTTTTACTTTATAGACTTTGTGTTTTTAACTTTCTGACTCTTTTGTAATAACACATGGTTTAAGACACAAACACATTGTACAGCTGTGCAAAAAGTATAATTTTCTTCATATTCTTATTCTATAAGCTATATTTTTAAATTTTTTTTTTTTTACTTTTTAAACTTTTTTGTTTAGAAACTAAGGCACGAACACATTATCCTAGGCCTACACAGGGCCGAGATCATCAATGTCACTGTCTTCCATCTCCACATCTTGTCCTACTAGAAGGTTTTCAAAGACAAGAGGATACATGAAGCCATCACCTCCTATGGTAGCAATGCCTTCTTCTGAAACACCTCCTGAAGGACCTGCTTGAGGCTGTTTTACAGGTCACTTTATTTTTAATAAGTAGAAGAAGCACACTCTAAAATAAGGATTGAAAGTAGAGCAAATATGACCGAGTATGGTAGCTCAGGCCTGTAATTCCAACACTTTGGGACCCCGAAGCAGGCGAATCACCTGAGGTCAGTAGTTCAAAACCAGCCTAGCCAACATGGTGAAACCCCATCTCAACTAAAAATACAAAAATTAGCCAGGCATAGTGGTGCATGCCTGTAATCCCAGCTACTTGGAAGGCTGAGGCAGGAGAATCTCTTGAACCCAGGAGGTAGAGGTTGCGGTGAGTGGAAATTGTACCACTGCACTCCAGCCTGGGTGACAGAGTGAGACTCTGTCTCAAAAAGAAAAGAAAGACAGAAGAATTGTGTTCGCAGCCGCCGCCGCGCCGCCGTCGCTCTCCAACGCCAGCACCGCCTCTCGCTCGCCGAGCTCCAGCCGAAGGAGAAGGGGGGTAAGTAAGGAGGTCTCTATACCATGGTTCGTACAAAGCAGACTGCCCGCAAATCTACCGGTGGTAAAGCACCCAGGAAGCAACTGGCTACAAAAGCCGCTCGCAAGAGTGCGCCCTCTACTGGAGGGGTGAAGAAACCTCATCGTTACAGGCCTGGTACTGTGGCACTCCGTGAAATTAGACGTTATCAGAAGTCCACTGAACTTCTGATTCGCAAACTTCCCTTCCAGCGTCTGGTGCGAGAAATTGCTCAGGACTTTAAAACAGATCTGCGCTTCCAGAGCGCAGCTATCGGTGCTTTGCAGGAGGCAAGTGAGGCCTATCTGGTTGGCCTTTTTGAAGACACCAACCTTTGTGCTATCCATGCCAAACGTGTAACAATTATGCCAAAAGACATCCAGCTAGCACGCCGCATACGTGGAGAGCGTGCTTAAGAATCCACTATGATGGGAAACATTTCATTCTCAAAAAAAAAAAAAAAAAAAAAAAAA